TGGTACAGGAGATATAGTATTTGACTTAAAGTCAGGAAGACCTGAGTTCAAAGCCTGCCTCAAACACTTACTAGTTGTGTAACCCTGGGCAAGTGACCTCTCTGGTTCTGAGTTTTCTCATCTGTGAAATGAAGGGGCTTCACTGGGTGGCTAATAAACCTCCTTTCAGTTCTCAGCTGATGATTCTATGCACTAGATTCTATGCTTATTACTTACCCGGGGCCCTCAGTCCTCAACACCCAAAGAAATAAGAGTTGACAGTGTGTGTCAGCTACCCAGAAATCCCTTTTCTAGGCTACAGAATTCTTCAAGAATTAGACCTGACTCACCAACAAGAAGCTGAGAGGGCAGAGGAGAGAGAGTGCTTGAAGAATGTCCAGCTGCTTTTTGGGGGTTTCATTTCCTAGAATATAATGGGTGTTTAGAGGGGCAGGAGCAGGCTGACCAGCTTACTTAAAAACAAACAAATTCCATCAATGACTGATTTTAAACCTGGGATTTGAACCAAACCAAATACCAGAACAACATTGCTAATTAGCTGAGCCCCAAACTACACCCAAATATTATTGTTTCTTACTGAACCTTGAACCGAGAACCCAAACACCAAATTAACTAGTTTGAACTGGAACTCGTACCAGACCTGCATTTTTCTGAGATGATTGAATCAGAAAAAGAGAATGTCAACCAAACCAAACAGCACAAATACAATATTTCGTTCATTCCTTTTTAATAGGTTTTAATGGGTGCCTACTATGTATTCTGTAGAGAGGCAAGGAGGAAAGTTAGGGGCAGAATGAAAGCAGGAAGCCCTGACGTTTATCAGTGGGATGACTGTGGCAAGCACTATCCTCTTAAGTTTCTCCTTGATATTTTCAAACTATCACTTAGATCATGGATCCAAGAGCTGACAGGCATTTCAGAAGAGACCTAGTCAAACACCTATCATTTTACAGATGTGGAAACTGAGGCCTAGAGAGTTTAAGTGCCAGCTGAGTGGTGCAGTGGATGTACATTGCACATAGTAGGTGCTATATAAATGCAATGATGACCATGGTGATGATGACAATGAAGTTGAAGATGCTGGTATTGATATGGCTTGCTCAAGGTCACACAGATAGTAGGTGTCAAAGGTCCAGAGTTTCTTTCATTCACCACAATACATGGTTCTGACCTGCAGTGAGAGATGGAATTCCCACACCAACAAATCAGAATAGATGATCTGTGCATCATAGGATGAGAGACAAGGCAGGGTTCTTGGCTTCCTTAAATTCACAAGACACTAGGGGAGATAAGACCCAGACATCCATGAATCTAATACAAATTGAGATAAGGAGAGACAGATTAATATAATGGATAGAGGAAGCCAGGAAGACTTGGCTTCCAGCTGCACCTCTGAGACAAATCCCAGGTTTAAAATCAGGATTCCGTGACCTGGGCAAGTCACTCAGTCTCTTGGGATCCTTGGCAGCTAAGATTATAATTAATAGAGAAGGTGCCCACCTGCATGGGTGCAGAGAGTTTCCTCATTGATGAAATAACTGGTCCAGCCACTAAGTATATAAGAAAAGTATAAAGTGCTATGAAGTCAAAGAAGGGAGGTAAGTCAATCTGGGCTCTAAAACAAATGGAGGGGGTAGGTCTGGGGACGATCTGCCATGTGAAATCAATAGTGCTGAACACTGACTAGTTTTTCTTCCTAAGAATTAAGAGGACAGCCTATTTAGAGGAGGGCAACTCAGAGGGACCGCATGCATCACCAACTGAAATACAGATGCACCTGCATCCAGGAGCAGGGGAGAGGGGGACTCTGGGGAAGAAGGGCCTTCCCAGGCACTGCATTCAAATCCTATGGGTGCTTAACAAGGACATCTGCATCTGGGGACAGCTCCCCATCAAAGGGGCCTTGGGTCAGATCTCCCACTCATTCAATTTTGTTTAACCAATATTAAAGAAAGAAGAGAAGAGAGGAGGGGAGATGAGGGGAGAGGAGGGGAGGGAAAGGAGAGGAGGGGAGAGGAGGACTCTGGGGAAGAAGGACCTTCCCAGGCACTGCATTCAAGCCCTATGGGTGCTTAACAAGGCCGTTTGCATCTGGGGACAGCTCCCCATCAAAGGGGCCTTGGGTCAGATACCCCACTCATTCAATTTTGTTTAACCAATATTAAAAGGAGAGGAGAAGAGAGGAGAGGAGAGGAGAGGAGGGGAGAGGAGGGGAGGGGAGAGGTGGAGGAGAAAAGGAGGAGGAGAGGAGAGGAGAGGAACAAGAGATGATCTTTCCCTAGAAGCTTAACTTGAAACAAGAAAAGGTTTAGCAAGATAGTTTGAAGGCATGACAGGGGCAGATGAAGGATGATTATTATTATTTTAATCTAAGGATAGGTGAGACTTGAACGTGTTTGTAGGAGGCAGCAACGAAGCCAGTAGATGAGGAGAGATTGAACTGGGTGGAAAAGATGGATGGGATGAACCTCAGAGGAGAAGCATGTTGAGGGATGGTTGTGAAGGGATTGTCTAGGAGTGGGAGTGAGGAGCAAGGAGTAGCCTGCCCCTCCCCCTGCTTCCTTAAGGCACTGATAAAGACATCTTAGCCACAGACAAACATAGACATAAACAAAAATAATCGTAGAGTTGGAAAGGACTTCAATACTCAACTAGTCCAGCCTTCCTTATTTACAGATGAGGAAATTGAGATTTGGCTCTGCCACAGGTTTCCCTAGTCTGAGTTACTCCCACCAAAATCCAGCTCATCTCTGCATAGGCAGTAGATGCTTAATACATGTTCTCTTGATCTGAACTGAATGGATACACTTGATACCAGAAACCCCAAGCACAAGTCTGGCAAGAATGCCTGGATATGGATCACCACAAGATAGGGGCTTAGAGATCCTCTAGTCCAATCCATCCATTTTACAGATAGAGAAACTGAGGCTTAGGGAGGGAACAACTATCCAAATGTCACTACTACAGGGAGTGAATAGCGGAGCCAGAATTTAGGACAACATACTTCAAATCCAATAGTCTTTCACCTACCTCGCATCAACTAGTGATATTTCTACCACATGTCCTGGGATCTTCATTCCTGCCTCTATCCACCCAACAAGTATTTATAAACTGAGGGCCTACCATGTACAAAGTACATTATTTTCACTGCCACCATGTCCTCACTAATGAGGGGGAAGGTCGGGATGGTAATTGCCTTCCAGTTTTCCATTGCTCATGCCATCCCCATTCCTTAAAGCTCAACTCAATCCACCATTTCTTCTAAGAGGCCCTCCTGATCCCCCTAAATGCTAGACTTCACCCTGAAATTACTCTGTATCTATGAAGTCTATTTTATATATTTAAATTTCATATTTGACTAGCTGTGTGACCCTGGGCAAGTCACTTAACCCCAATTGCCAAAAACAAACAAACAAATAAATAAAAGAATGAATAAATAAATTTCATATTTGCCAACTCTGTTACTGTTGAGTCATTTTTCAGTCATGTCCACCTCTTCATGACCCCATTAGGTGTTTTCTTGGCAGAGATACTGGAGTGGTCTGCCATTCCCTTTTCCAGCTCATTTTCCAAATGAGGAAACTGAGGCAAACAGGGTGAAGTGACTTCCCCAGGGTCACACAGCTAGGAAGTGTCTGAAGCTGAATTTGCATTCAGGAAGATGATTCTTCCTGACTCCAGGAGGGCACGTTACCCACTTCACCACCTAGGTGCCCTATTTATTTAAGTAGTGGGGTTAGAAAAATGCAGAGTCCTGAGTTAGAGAACCTGAGTTCCAATCTACCTCTTATATTTACCACCTGTGTGACCCTGGGAAAATCACTTAACTACAGGGTACCTTGGTTTCCTCATCTGTAAAATAAGGAGATTGTACTAGATATCCTCTGAAACATAAATATAATTATATACAATTTTTCCAATCTAGATGTAGATTCTCAAATGTTGTTTTCATTGATAGAATGTAAACTCTTGAGGGCAGGGACTGTGTCCCTTTTTTTTAATCACAGGCAACTAGGTGTGAAGTGGGTAGAGCACCCAGCTTAGAGTCAGGAAGACTCTTCTTCCTGAATTCTAATCCAGCTTCACACACTTACTAGCTGTGCGACCCTGGGCAAGTCACTTACCCCTGTTTGCTTAAGTTTTCTCATCTGGAAAATGAGCTGGAGAAGGAAATGGAAGACCACTCCAGTACATCTGTCGAGAAAACCCCTAAAAGAGTTCATGCAGAGTCGTATGTAATAACAACACAAATCCTATGATCTTAGATATGCTTTCCTCTGATAGAACATAAGCTCCTTGAGGACAGGAATTGTTTCATTTTTATCCTTGCATAAATCACTTCCCTTGAGGTATCAATGTGTCCTCTTGTAGAATGAAGGCTGAGGAGCCTCTCAGCAAGATTTGATAGGGCCTGCTGTGATCGGATCTCCTTAGAAAAGAAGGATAAATGCAGACCCGTTGTTGTGTTTCACCTGAGGAATTCTCTCTCTTTTTGGTAGAGAGGCTAATTGCCTCTTTGGACCAGGGAGCTCTCCCGGGGCCCCTTTTCCATCAGCAGGTGTGCTGGCCCATTAACCTTTCATTTGTCATTGCTCTAAGAGGAAGAGGAGGAAGGGGCAGGACAAAGGCATGATCTCCCTTCCCAGGTGCTAGGAGGATAATTGGGGGGGGCAGGTAGGTTGGGATTAACAGGTAGGCCTGCTGAGCCCCTCAAAGGAAAAGCCCTCTCCACAATGTCATCTTTATTGCTCCTGCAAATCATACAGAAGAGTCTCTGTTATTCAAGCTTCGCCAATTTCAGGGAGGCTCAGTCAGAACAGAAGCAAAATGGCTTTGCTCTAGCTCCTGAGAGGTTCCCACAGAGCAGAGTCCTGCGGGATGGGGAGGGAGCACCAGACTTAGGATGGGGAACACTGGGTTCGAATCCCAGCTCCAGCCCTGGCTAGCTATGGGACCATGGGAGAGTCACAGAGAGGCAGTGTGGGGTAATGAATAGTTACCTGGACCTGGAGTCGGGAAGGCTTGGGTAGGAATCCGGCCTCTGACCCTCATGAGTTAAGTGACCGTGGGCAAGGTATCTGCAGTCATCCTCTTTAGGGCTTGATTATCCTCATCTGTAAAATGGGGATAATCTCCTAGCAGAAAGGAGAGCATTTCGTTAACCTTAATTAAAGGGCTCTGGGAATTATTTTTATTTTTATTGTTTTTTTATTTTTGTTATATTATTATATTATTATTAATATTATTATTGTTATTTTATTATTATTTTTATTATTGGTGCTCACAGCCCACCCTAGGCAAAATTTTGGGGGTCTCTTTTGATTTTGTATGTCACCCCTCTGACCTTACCTTCCTTATGTCCTTCTGGCTCCCCTCAAAAAATTTCAGGAGAGGCCATATTGCCATTGATGGGGCAAAGGATTCCTACCTACCTAGTCTCAGTCTCTGGGCCTGAGGTGTGAACCTGGGAGGTCATCTAGTTCAACCTCCTTTTTTTTTTTTTTTGATGAAGCAATCAGGGTTAAGTGACTTGCCCAGGGTCACACAGCTAGTGAGTGTTATGTGTCTGAGGCCGTATTTGAACTCAGGTCCTCCTGACTCCAGGGCTGGAGCTCTATCCACTGAGCCACCGAGCTGCCCCTCAACCGCCTCCTTTTGACTTCATGGTTTTTACTCGTGGGGATGGCATTAGCTAAGTACCATAATGTGATCCCCAGTCTTGCCTCCCCTTCCCGTAAGACGAGGAAACTGAAGCAGATGCGGGATTCAAACCCATGTTCTCTGATTCCAAATCTGGTTTTTTGTGATACAGTGGATACAGCACCAGCCCTGAAGTCAGGAGGACCTGAGTTCAAATCTGGCCTGACACTTCCTAGCTGTGTGACCCTGGGCAAGTCACTTAACCCCAATTGCCTAAAAATCAATCAATCAATCAATCAATCTAGTCTTTCCATTGTACCAGTGGATAAAGGGCTGAACTTGGAGTTTACCCAGAGAGGTGAGCTCGAATGCTACCTACTATGACCCTGGGAAAATTATTTAATGTCTCTTATCCTCAGTTTCCTCAACTGTAAAATAGGTATTGATAATAATAACATTTTTATTTTGCAAATAAAATGAGTTTATGTTGCTGTACACACTAACACATATTGCTTTGCAAAACCTGAAAGTGCTCTATAAGTGCTAGCTACCACTAATGGGAAAGGTAAGCCATGATGCATTTTAACTCTGGCCTTGTAGAGGCAAAGTTTCTCAGGTTGAACTGATTAGTGAGTAACTCTAGCGGCAGAAACTTCAGGAATGAGGCCTGGTGAGTAAGTGAGGTTTTCTTGGTTTTTATTCTGGGGGGACTTTTTAATTTGTTTTTGTGTGAGTGTGTGTAGGGGGGAGTGTTTTCTGAGACTGCTTATCTGTCCGCTTGGGTTTGGGGAAGGTAGGGATTTCCCATCCAGGAAATCTGATGAGGAAAGTGGTTCCTAGGGCAGCGATGTCTAAGGCCACATGGGTGGTAAGTGTCAGAGCCAGGATTTGAACCCAGTTCCTCTGACTCTAGTCCTTGGCTCTATCTACAAGACCATGCTGCTTACCAAAGAAGTTAAGAGAACAACAAATCCATGGTTCCTTCTTTTCTTAGCTCTGAACCCCAACAGAGCTTCCTTCTTTACCTTGGAGAGAAAAGCAATATGGGACCCAGAGAGGTTGTGCCTTCTTGGGCCATGACTGGTGGCTAATCTCCCACAAAAAAGAAAAAAAATATTGAATTCCTTTGAAGCAGTCCCTTTTTAGGACTACTTCAGAAAGCATCATAAAGATGGGCCCCGCAGAAGGAACTTGTATTCTTGAGGTTTTGGATGGAGCTCAGAATACAGGGTCAAGAAGACTCCAGTTGGATTGCTGCATCACTTAGTAGCTGTGCCTTATTTGTGTGCCCCTGGGCATCCCCCCTTCATAGCCCTGAGCCCCAGTTTTCTCACATATAAAATGGGCCCAATAAGACTCAAATGAGACAAAGGACCTTTTGCAAAATAGAGTGCCATCGAAATGTGAGTTAGCCTCTTTACTCCTTAGTAAACGCCAAGGGCATCCAGTCTCCCCTGGATTACAGCTGTCCCCCACCCCCTTTCCTGTAGGTAGCTGTGTGCTTTGGGGACGTCTAACCCCTTAAAAGCTGCTTGTGTTCCTTTGATTCTTGGCAGTCAGCCCAACTAATCTCCCAACATTGAAGAGCATTATGAAAGTTAAGCTGCATGGAAAAAGAATAATAATTCTGTTCTCTCAGCGAGGCGCAGGGTCAGTACTGCCTTTATGAGTCTGTGTGTGTTTCTTGGCAGGAGCAGAATAGCTTTTTGAGGCCCCCGAGCCCTCCCCCAGCTCCCTGCATCACCGAGCTGTTTACTCGGGTGAGTGAAGTCAGGCTAGGATGGCTGCCAGGGGCTCCTATTAGGAAGCTAATCTTGTTTACCCCTAAGCCAACTACAGGATTTCTCAAAATTATCTTCCTGGCCTGGGATTGCTGCCTGAGAAATTCCAAGGCTATCTCGTGGGGTTCATGGGATCATCCACGTAAAGCTAGAATAAGCTCGTGGGGTTGTTTCAATATTTAAAGTTGGAAGACACCTTTGGGGCCATCTAGTTCCCCCTACCCCCACCCCCTAGATTTACAAATAATAAATATCTAACACTGATATAGCACCTACTATGTGCTGGGCATTGTGGCTTTACAGCGATTATATCATTATATTATATTTTATCATTAAAGCTATACATCATTGGACCCTCCTTGGATCACCTTGGGATGCAGGTGCTATTGTTAACCCCATTTTACAGATGAGGAAACTTAGTCCCAAAGAGTTTTGTAACTTGTCATTTAGGGGTCACAAAGATCATAAATTGCATGATTAAGGTTCAAACTGAGGTCTTCTGACTCCAAATCCAGCCAGTCTGTCCAAGGTGTAAGCCACCCTTGAAATGGCGTAGTCCGAAACTGAGGTCCAGAAAAAGAAAGTGACTTGTTCAGGAGCACACAGGTGGACTTTCTAAGCCAGGATCCTTAAGAAAGGCAGCTTAAATGTTAAAAAATAAAATATAATTTAAATAAAGATAAGCCTGGGGGAAAAAGGCAGGTTAGTGCAGTAGGATTAGGAGTGAGAGACAATCCCACTGTATGAGCGTGTGTAAGTCACTAAACATCTCTGGTTCTCAGTTTTCTTGTTGGTACAATAACATTAGAACGGGCTCACTGGCCCCTAATGCCCCTTCCAAGTCTCACTTATGATCTTATCATCTCCCTGGGCCTCAGTTTCCTCATCTGTAAAACAAGAAACTAGGTGACTTCTGAGATCATTTCTCATCCTAAATCTATGCTCCTTTATATAATTTATCCTAAAAAATAATTTACATTTTGAAATTGAGGGTGGCAGGATAACAGAATTAAGTTTTTGATGGGAGGCAAAGGACCTAAGTTCAAATCCTGTCTCTGTTATTTGCTCCCTGAGTGACCTTAGGAGGTCATTTGTCCCTTCCCAACCCCTTGCCTCAACTTGACCATCTCTAATAAGTGATGATTGGGCTAAGTGATCTCTAAGACTCCTGCCAGCCCAAATCCTACCAAATTCTACACTTTAGTACCAGAATAGGAACTAAAACCCAGGTGTCTTGACTCCCAGTTCAGATTTTCTTTCTCTCCCTTATTCAAATACTCTTGCTAGTACAGTATTTTATATAGTAAGTTTCCTGACCAAAAATGGGCAGCCAGGTGACACCACAGTGCATAGAGCACTGGACCCGGAGTCAGGAAGACTCATCTTCATGAGTTCAAATCTGGCCTCAGACACTTACAAGCTGTGTGACCCTGGGCAAGTCACTTAATCTTGTTTGCCTCAATTTCCTCATCTGTAAAATGAGCTGGAGAAGGAAATGGCAGATCACTCCATTATCTTTGCCAAGAAAACCCCAAATGGGGCCACAAAGAGTCAGATACAACTGAAATGACTGAACAACAAAATGGGAATAATAATAGCTTCAATTTCACCAGGTTATTGGGAAGCTCAAATGAGCTTTCTAAACTGTAAAGGTTTAGGATAGATAGTCAGCAGCTATCATGATTATTCCCAGTTCAGTCCCCACTTTTTTCATTTCACCTTTGTTACTTCTCCAATTGTAACTTAGAAATATGAGTTAAGTGAAGGGGTCTAGAATCAGAGTGAGGAACCCGTGACATTGAAGGCACATGCTCCCCACCCCTGATCTAGATCAACAGGCCTGACTCAGTTGCCACTCCACATTAAGGAAAGAGACAAGGGCCTCTCTGAATTCTAAATAAGGGTTGTTCTCCAATAAGGCTGAAAGACTCTAAGCCACCTTACTTCTGTTCACTCACTTGCCAGATGCAAAGGATGTGAGGGCTCAAATACCAAGGTCAAGCCTCCTAATCTTTTTCCATCCTTCAAAGGCTAAGATAGATTTAATGAGAATTAAAACTGATGGGTGGGGGGGGTGAAGGGGGATAATAGGGTGAAGTTGGAGTCACCCAAGGCTCTCTTCTCCTGCTCAAAACCTCAAATAAATCAGTTTTTCATTTCAGTCACTTTGTTGGCATGCTCTGGGCATCAGCAACTGCCAGAATCAATAGCCCCAAGCTTCGGTAAGTAGAACAGGTTTTCTCCCTGTGGGGGGAGGGGGATCTGGGTGAAGTTCCAGGGTTCTATGGGTGACTCCGGGGGCACAATACCCAAGAGGAGCCTTTTGTCAATGAAGCTGCCCTCCTCCTTTCTTTCCACTGCAGAATTACAGTAGAATTCATTTAGTAGAATGGAAGTTTCTTGAGGACAAGAGCTGTCACTTTCTTTTTGTCTTTGTATGCCCAGTGCCCAATACCAAGAGAAAGGTATTATGGTGTAGTTGATAGATAACTTGACCTTGGTTCAAGTCTCTCCTCTGACTCACACTGTCTATATGACCTTGGAGAAGTCTCTTAGCTTCTCAGTGTTCTAATCCACTCTAATAATCTAAGTTCCAGAAATGGTACTGACTTGCATTGGTAGAGCGAGTGTCCTCACCTGGGAGTTTCCCGTACTAGTGAAATCACAGCTGCAGTTCTCTATCCCCAGAGCATCACGGAGGATCAAACCAAGAG